TGTACCCCCATTTGCTTCAGTGATTGGCTACTTGAGGACCTGTTACAAAGGACAAGATGTGGAAGGTGAAAAGGAGAAGGGCAGGGCCTCTCAGTCGCAGCGTCAGGAATGCCACGAGAGAAAGGAGACTCGATATTTAGCCATCTCTTTGCATCCTGTGACTGTTTACTTTATTTCTCTTGGAAGTTTTTACATTGGTGAACATTGCCCATTTGGTGATATTCTAAGGTTTTTCTTTACCGAATTCCAGCATCATCACAGCGATAACCTTTTTTATCAACAGTTTTATAAGCATATATTGACTCTGCCAAGATTTTAGTGTAGGTCCCTTGAGCCAAGTTTGTTGCTGTTCTGATTCCCTGAAGCCTTTTTTGGGTTGTTTCTAGTCTCCGAGCCATACAGTTTTTCTCACGCTTATTAAATATCTGTAGTGAGAAAATTGACTTGATTTATGCAACTTTTTTTCATACCAAAACAGCTCTTTTGAGTGTCCATACACACAAACGTTGTGGGAGCAAATTTATCATAGCCAAAGTGACTTTAATCACTTACCATTTGAGGTTAAATGTTACTCGTGACAATAGAGCCAATGACACTGAAGATGATATAGCACATATAGTAAGGAACAAGGGCAAGCCCACTGGGAAGCAGTTTATATGACAACTGCGGGCTTCTCTGACTCAGAAAGAATGCAAGTCTCCTTCCGTCCTTTGTTCCTTATTGAATCCAAAAGACATTATGTGGAGCCAAGCAAGGCAGCTGCTCTGTGGGAGTGGGGGAGGTGACCCAATATAGGGCTTCAGAAGCTGCGTAGGATGGGGAGACACGTGCATAGGGTTTGACAACACAGTGCCAATGGGGTGAACAGGGTATTCAGGAGTGGGGTGGCAGAAACCATGGAAAACAAAGTTCTTGTTATAGGAGATGGGGGTTACAAATACAGAAAAGAGAGAAAATTAGAGTGAATATGTAGCATTGGATTAGAATTGGAGGCATCAGTGTGAACTCATGGTTTTAGTATACATAGATAATTGTAGATGTATATATTTAAATATAGATCTGTATTTTGCACTATTAATATGTAGAGATGTGTGTGTATGCAAACCAACTTCAAGTTGTACCCACTGGCCAAATCTGGAATAATTAGCATCAAAATAAAAGATGATAGGAACATGTTATGACCAAATGAATAAAATGGAAATCCAAAAGTACATGCTAATATAAACAGATACCATAAACCAGATAAAGAAACTTCTTTTTCTTATAGTAGGATGTGCCACTAATAATTATAGAAGGGATGATAGAAGTTTTAAAATCACTATTTGGCAATCATCACAATAATAATTCAGCCCCACAAAATAATTACAAAGAGGTAAAGCTTTACAATGAAGAAACCTGGCCACTACCACCTTAATTAATCAAAATAATCATTATCAGTTATGAGACAAATGGAATTTTTACATCACCTGAGACGATACAAAGAACACATCATTACTTCTGTGGCATTCCTGCCAAAAATATTTCTGCCATAACGAATCTGATCATGAAGACACATCAGATAAACTCAGTTTGAGGGTAATTCTACAAAATAACGTGCCTGGAATTTTCCAAATTCAAGGAAAGAGAAGTCAAAGATGGAAGGAACGATAACTAAAGAGACTTCCTAAGTCAGTGCCATACGTGATCCTGGTTTGGATCCTTTTGCTATAACATATGTCATTGTTGGAGCAATTGGTGGAACTCTAATGGAGTCTGTGGATCAGATGGCAGTGATATATCAAATGGTAATTTCCTGATACTGATGGTTATATTATGGTTATATTAGTTAATCCTTGTTTGTAGGAATTAACCAGAGCATTGAAGGGAGAGAGGTATTATGTCAGAGCTAACCTACAGTTGGTTTAGGGGGAAAAAATGCTCTGTGAACCTGAAATTATTTCTGGTTTGTTTTTTTTTATCCTCACCCAAGTACATTTTTTTCATTGCTTTGAGAGAGAGAGAGAGAGAGAGAGAGACATCGATGTGAGAGAGAAACATGAAGTGGTTACCTTCTTGTACAAGCTCTGACTGGGGATTGAACCCACAACCTGGGTATGTCCCCTGACCAGGAATCAAACCTGCAACCCTTCAGTCCACAGGATGATGTTTTAACCAACTGAGCCACAATGGCCACAGCTCAAATCTTTAAAAATGGCAAAATTAGTATATGAAAAAATTACATTCTTTCAAAACTACAGAGATAAGGCTTTTGATATAAAACTACACCTGGACAATGTGTTTCCTTATTGAGGTTTTTGATATTTATTAGATACAAAAATAACAAACTTACAGAGGTTCTTTAAAAGAGAAGTTTTGTTTTTTAACACATTCAATACATGTGCAACACACACACACACACACACACAACACAAAACCAGGAAAGCATTTTAAAGTTACTGGTGTAGCTTATGTGTACTCAGGTTTCTAAACTTGTGGCCTAAAATCATTTGGGCAGGATTTAAAGAGCAACATCCTGAAAAAAAGATGGTTGGGGTTTATTGTTGTTTTGTCTTCTTTTTCTTTTTTATCCTCACTTGAAGACATATTTTTTATTGCTTTCAGAGAGGGAGGGAGAGAGGGAGGGAAAAACATCAGTTGGTTGCCTTCTCGCAGGCACCCTGACTGCGGAATCAAACCCACAATCTAGGTATGCACCCTGACCGAGAATCAAACCTGCAGCCCTGCCATCTTCAGGATGATTCTCCAACCAACTGAGCCATACCAGCCACAGCAGGTTTATTGTTTTTTATCTTTTTGCAAGGTAATTACGAATGTAAGCCCTGGAGCAAAGCCTTCTGTTTGTAATTCTGGCCAGCACTCAGAATATAACCTAGATTTTTCTAGGCCTTGGTTTTCTCATCTGTAAATCAGGATAATAATGTTGATCTCATGGGTCAACAGAATAAATGAGATAATATATGAAAAGCACTTAGACTGTGGCACATTGTAAGTAGTGAATAAAGCTGGCTCCTGCTTTATTATTTCAGGAGAAGTTAAAACGCTTTCATAAAAGCTTTCTTGTACAATTATGTTGGCTTCCTTCTCCCTCACCAGGAGAATTACTAGGCCACCAACGTTATGTCCTCTGCTGTTAAACTTGTCCCAAGATCAAACTAAAGCCTGGAAATGGAGCATATTTTAGAAGACAGCAGGCATTGCAATGCAACAGAAAAAAAGACTTGGGCCTTAGAGAACTCAGACTGGTTAAATTCCAGACCTGCTACTTACCAGCTTTTTAACTTTGGTTTTGGTCTGTAAAATGTCTATAATGCACCAATAATGATAGAGATCACAAGGACTATTGAGGGTTAAGTGAGGTAAACTTGGCAAAACTTCTAATAAAATGACCACCCTAAAGAATGTCTTCAAAAAATTATGGTTATTTTTCTTACTCCTTTAAAGGTGCAGGAACAGCTATTTGAGAAGAATGAAAATCTTAGGATCAGAAATAGTAGCAGAGCATCTGAGGGCATTTTTTGAGAAGTGTGATAAGCTTGCTGTGGCTGTTTGTTCCTACAGAGGTTTAGACTACCAACGATGGGCTTAAATTGCTTCAGAAGGAATTTCAGTTGACAAGAAACATGTCATGTGTTGTGTAATCCCATTCTCAAGAGACGCTGGAAAAGGATAGATAACTATCTTTCTAGAACAGCACGGGTTTAGTGCACACCAGCCTTGAAACCAGGGACAAAGGATAGACTTCATTGAGTTCCCATCTGTATTTAAATGGTGAAGAGAATTTTGACTTTTCTGGCTCTAAAAACGTAAGCCTTTCTTTATCCCACAGAAGGATCACGTCAAATGAACATTCAAAGTGTTCTCTTTTATAGAGAAAATGTGCCTCCTTTAGAGAACATGTAGTTGTTCATATAAAATTAGTGCCTCTTGGTCATCGATGTAGGACTTCTTTAGAACTCTTGAGTATTATTAAAGGAAGTTTCCCTGTTGCACTTTCTTCTGCTTTAATTCATTCACTCAATCATGCAACAAGTATTTATTGACAGCAAATATTCCTGGCATTCCACTAGATGTTGATTATAAAAACGTGAACAAAACATTCCTCATGGAAGAAGATTCAGTCTACTGCCCTCACATCCTCTAATGGGCTTAATAGGAGCTCTCTGCAAAAGGGCATACCTTGAGTTATTTAAAAAAATAGATTCTTTTGGCAACAGTTATAGATAACTATATGTTCGGAGTGTACAAAAACAGGCTTGACTCCACATGTCCCTGGAATTGCCCTCCCTGGAGATTTCCTTCAAGCAGCATCCCTTGTGTCTAGAGGACAGCAATCTGTGACCTGCAGAAGAGGTATCCGTTGTTGATAACTCATATGAAATTAAACTTGGGCTGATTCATCATAAAATAGAAGCTCTCGGTGTCTCTCCTTTTAGTACAGGGGAAGAGATTTTTTTCCTTAGAACAATCATGGCGATGTTAACTCTCAGCCGACTAGCGGCACAGAAGAAAAGTGCTGCTCAGGTCTGAACTGGCGAGGCAGAAAGCTGCAGTGACAGTACATGTCCCTGTTACAAAGAGCACTGCTTTGCCAGGAAGAGCCAGACGCAGTAAAAAGCACAGCACAAAAGAACTTTGGTAGTGCAGTGCCTCTGTTTTTACCCAGATAGGCTAGTAGCATGTTTATTCAGCACACTGCCTCTGCTGAGATAAGACCTGCTTCCTTCAGATGCCCTGGGCTGCTGTTTGTTTAGCTGCAGAACTTAATGAGTAATGAATGTGCTTGTCTGGCTGATAGAAAGTATTTCCACAGACTGCGGCTGTGTTTATAGAGAGCCGGAGAGACCACAGGCAGCAATTTGTCGTCTTAGGTATCAGCAAAGTCTTCTCTTTTAACAACTAGAGGATTTATTTTTAACTGCTTGACTCAGTGTTGGTCAGATGATTTGGACCATCAAACTGCAGATTGAAGTGCCCAGCACGGGGGAAGCTGGAATGGCAAAGGAAAGGGGCTGGCTGGGAAAAGGGGTGGGATTTCAGCATCACCGAGCCTCCGAGGCTCTGCCTCCCAATGTGGGAGAGAGTTTAGGGCTTCCAGCGGCATGAGTGTCTGTGCAGGTCAGGCTGGGAACTGAAGGCTGATTGATGGGTGCCTTCAGCTGCTTAAAGACAAAATTGCCCGCTGGTGATTGGGGTATTGTGAGGAGGTGCGCAGGACCCAGGAACCAGAGTATTTTGAGCACCAGCCTCTGCTGTTCAGCAAATTGAGCCCTTCTGCTTGATGCTGCCTGTCTCCAGAAGCCTCTCACCATGATCGATAGCTCCAAGAAGCAGCAACAGGGGTTCCCAGAGATTTTAACTGCTGGGAATTTCGAGCCATTAAAAGAAAAGGAATGCCTTGAGGGGAGCAACCAGAAAAGTCTCAAGGAAGGTCAGTGATTTTGTGGACAGGGCCAAAACTGCCAAATTCCTGTTCCCATCAACCAGGCTGAGCATGTTTGTCTGATTACCGTGCCATATCTCTCTCTGTTTCCTGCCGTATCTTAACACGGTCTAAGTTCTTTGAAATGAAAGCTTAATGCTGTTCTTGGTAGCTGTCTCTAAAAATTCATTAACCGATAGAACTCTAGGGATTTTGCAATAATTAATACAATCAGGGGATTTACGAAGCCAGTCCTCATTTCACTAAATCCTTCCAGGTTCATTTCTTACGTTTTCTCATGTTCTCCAATTTTTTGTCCCTCCCCGCCTTAGGAGGGGCCATTTCTTTTTCAGTATTATTCAGAACACTGCTTCTTTTAGGTTTACAGAAACATGATTCCACGAAAATTAATTTTTTCCAATTAACATGTTCCTGGCTTTTATTGTTTAAAACAAGGAAGGTAGCTAGCTCTTTCTTAATTATATCTCTAAACGATCAGTGTAATTGATTATAGTGCATACTGTATTGATTTTTGTAAAAGCACATTGCATAGTTTTGTGGTTTTGTAACAAAGCGCAGAATAAGCTTAAGAATACTGTCAATTATTGTTAGTGGCCACTGCAGAGACACTTCTCTGATTAGTTTAAGAAAATGGCCAAAGGTATGGTGTCCCGGCATACTGAGTGTGGCAAGACCCGTGCACTGTGTGCTTTACTGTAACAGCTGAAGATCAAGGGCTGTGGTGTAAGAAATTCAGGATCTACAGAGAATAAGTTTTTCCTAAATTTGAGGTATGAAGATCACCTCTCTCAATACTTGTTTAATTTTAAATTTGATTTTCTAGTGTTCTTTGGGAGGAAAAACCACACAATAACCTCTTTTTCATTTTATCTGCTTTCAGCTCCTACCATGAGCCACCCCCTCATCTTCACTCTCCCTTGCTCATCTTATAGAGACCCAGAGTGTAAATGTAGAGTTATCCACCTAAGTAGAAGTTTGAGCTTCTTCCAAAAGAATATTCCTCCTTTTTTTCCTCATTTAGAATAAGAGCATGATAAATTGTTACAGATTTAAAAGATAATAAGAATAGTTAGACTTGCTAGAGTTGCACTTCTTTTGAGTATGGGTAGAAAACAACATCTAGATTGAAACAAATGACACACAATGAGGTAAAAATAGCTGTTGCCAGGTACAAAACAATGGGGTTGCCTCTGCTTGTGCACAGCAAGCCTTATCATAAGTTGTTATAGAAGCAATACTGGTGGAGCTTTTAGGTCACATTCTGGAGACTCACTGAGAGGACCTTAAAAATTTTTTAATCATTCACTTAAAAAAAGGTTAAGGATCATCTGTGCATCATTTAAGTCAAGTTAAAGTGCTGAGCTACTATTCTTTAAATTCAAAACAATGTGTGTGCTATTTGAAAAACTGAGAAAGTAGAGGAAAATGAAATAGGAAAAAATTTAAAATGTCACAACAACAGAATATGATAAAGGAACATAGAAAGCAAGGATTAAAAATATAAAATCAGGGTATAGGGGAATTATTAACAGGAACAGCAAAGTAGAGTTGAGATGGTTACATAATGCCTAGATTGTTTCCCTAACAATCGTGCCCGTGCTTTCCATTTATACATGTGCAATAGTGTAATGTCAGAAGAGCAAGAGCATGGACTCTGAAGGGAGATAGAGACTTGAGGTCAAATCCGAGACATACCATTTTCTAGCTTTGTGACCCTGGACAAGTTTTGTACAATGAAGAGAAACTGTATGCACTTCATAGTGTTTTTATGAGATGCCTGGCTTAATGCCAGCTTACCATCATTCTTCCTATTTGTTTTTTTAACCCTTAATTATTTTCCCCTCTATTTAAAGTTAAATTTTTGAGATTATATATATATATTGATTTAGATAAATTCTATATATAGATATATATATCTATATGTATATATATCTATATATATAGATAAAGACTATATATATCTATATATATATAAAGACTATATATATAAAGACTATATATATATATAAAGACTATATATATATATATATATATATATATATAGTCTTTAAAAAAGCATTTAAGGAACTCACAACCTAAAAATCAAGAAGGTAAATGATAATATAGGAGTTAAAATATGCACACACACAAAGGAGATATAGAAGAAAACCATGTGTGCTTTGGTTCAAATGAGTGAGAATTACAAAATGTGAGGGCTAAGCCTGTCTCTTGCGCTCCAAACCTGTAAAGTCATCTGTACCACTAATGTCTCCAGTGGGCCCTGTAGTATACTACTTCCGTGAGACATATCCTCCAGTGAATGGCATCTCTCTACCCATTGCTTCACACCAGGAACCTAAATGAGAGTAATCCTTGATCTCCTACTCATCACCAAATCCTATTACCAAATTCTACTGCAAATTTTTCATTTGTCCATAGCAGTGTTTCACCATGGGTACAATCCTTCCTCAAATAGAGTCTTTATAGAAATCTTTATTCAAGTAAAGGTAGACCTTCAGCTGATCCCTCCTCACCCACTCTGGCCAGTTTTAGTCACTGCCTACAGATGAAAACCAATGGTCAGCTTCTCAAACTCATAGAATAAAGCAAGGGGACAAGACACTGCAGAACTTCATTTGCTTTTAAGCGTGGAGTCAGACGTCAGTTGTATTAGTCCACACAAGTGTTCAAACACTAAAGCACCCTAGAGTCTAATTAGATGCTATGCTGTTCTGTCATAATAGACAAATACATAAGTGACTGTTAGTAATGTCTAATGGTTTATGCCTTATCTGTTAAGAGATACAAAATGTTGTATTTCACATCAACTGTGTTTGGTTTTCCATTCATTTTTGGCAAAGTTGATTTTGGTTTTTGTTTGTTTTTTTGAAAGAACAACCATTGGGATTGCTTGTAAGGTCTGGATCATAAGTGTCTAGGTAATGGGGAAGGATAAATTTGGTTCTCATTTAATTCTAATGAGAGACACAGCTTATCTCACCAGTATTTCTGACGTGTGTCTACTGTAGAGGTTGGAAGTCCACTGTTTCTCAAGAAGTTGGTCTAGTTCTTGCTTATATTAGGACATTTTAAAATTCCTACTATTCTTGAGAGTGCTAGTCAGCTGAAATTATTTGGGGGGGAGGGGAACGGGCTGCAAGCAATCATAGACCTCAAGAGTCTGTGACATCTTAACAAGAAAATTTAGTAATACCTGTTGAAAATGTTTGTGTCTACTGCCTATGCGTAGTTGTCATCACATACCAGAGAATTGTTTGGATAATAAAGTATAACACCTCACAGTTTTGTTAATGTTAATTTTGATAAGTATCAACCCATGTGAGTAGTTGGAGAATTTAATTATTTTTTGCTTTAGGTGACAATAGCAATAAATGTCATGAATTCTGACCAAATTCAAAATGAGGGATTTTCCTTAGACTAGGTTCTTTTGTCAAAGTAGGAATAGAGGATTTCAACTTTTGGCTAATCCACATATATAGGTTAGAACATTTTCAAATAATATTCAGCATGAATGAGATTTAAATTTGACTTCTGATTTTACAGCTAAAAAAGGATGTTACAAACCACTGACTTGACAACTTAAGAATTAATCATTATGAATTTTGAGAGAAAAATAAATTGAGATAACTTAATTCAGACAAATGGCTAGATAAGAGTCATTAAGATAACAAATCATAATACCAATGCTACCAGCTACTTATGTCCCATATTTATCAAGACAAAATGGTAACAAATAGATTTAAAAAAGAACTGAAGTTCAATGTGCAGAGCTCTCTATGGTAAAAAGGAGATACCACAGAAAGAAAACTGGTTTGTGTTTTAACTACCTGGACTAAACTAACTGCTCTAACAAACAACCCCCAAACTCAAGTGTTTTTTAACCAAGTACAGTGATTTCTTGCTCAAAATATAGTCCAAGGTGAATTGGACTGCTGTCTTAGTCAGCTGTCCTCTAAGAAGTGACTTGGGGATCTGGGCCTCTTTCATTGTGTGGCTCAATCATAGGGGTGGAGGTAGGAGTTACAGATTTGAGGGACCACACTCCCAATCTGGCACATGCTGATTAATAACAGTTGAGATAAAGTATGTGAAAGTTTGTGTGCATTGCATATAGACAGTGTAGTAAATTAATGTGGTGTACTAGGGCATGGCTGTAATAGACCTGTTTATTAAAAAAATGCACCTTTGCCTGATATATTCTGAGTAACCCAACCTGGGGAAATAGATTAAATAAATATCTTTATCAAAGCACCAAAATTTAGTTAAGTGATGGAAATTATACATACTCTACCTGTACTCTCCCCTTTAGCCACATATGGCTGTTTACATTTAAATTTAAAATAAAATGAAATAGAATTTTCAAAAACTCAGCCCCTTAGTTACATGTGATGAGCCACATTTCAACAGCTCAGAAGCCGTATGTGGTTAGTGGCTACTGTATTGAACAGCGTTGATTATAAAACATTTCCGTCACTGCAGAAAGTTATATTGGACAGCACTGCCCCACACTTCCCTCCTCCATGCCTTTACTCACAATGTTCCTCTCACCCCACTTTCGCAGGTCCAGAGTCTCATTAAACTTAATCCCCATGCCATTTGCTAAAGAAAGTCACTTGATCCTGTCAGCTAAAAATAATTTCTTCTCTTGTATATTCCTGATAAATTTATCTGCATCTCTTTAAGACAGTTCGCCTTTTACCATTATGATATATAGCTGTGCTGTCTTCATTATTAGACCACAGTATTCTTGAATATGGAATCATTGTTGGGATCATTTTAATACCTCACCCCCCGAGCCCTGCTTCTCATAGACACATTATTACTATGCAACAGGTATTTAAAGATTATTATACCTTCACCCTGCCTTCTTAAACAGAATATTATTTGAACCATTACCTTCAGGTAGAATTTATAATTCAGTCAGAAATTAATTGCTAGCCCAAAATGTAATGTATTAGTGCCTTAAGGCACTATGCAGGTATATAAAA